CAGTCTGCCAAGTCCAGCAATCAGGATCTCCGTGTCCCTAAAATATTTGCTTCACTGGGTAAGGCTGAGATTGAGAGAACTGGAACCAAAATTTTCTGCAGGTGTATAAAATGCAATTATAAAATATGCATAATGACAGTTATTTTTAGTGTAGTCATTATTATTATTATTATTATTATTATTATTATTATTATTATTATTTTCTCTACAGGAAAATCCAAGAGTGTCCATTATGCAGCATTTAACCACAGCAGTGTGCTTTATTGTTCTCATTGCACTGAGCTCCTCATTTCCTGTGACTAACAGCGTAAGACACTGAATTCTCTCATTCATTTAGTGCTACAAAGCCTACTTCATTTCTGACAGATACTGTATTTCAACAGTACCTTAAAGAAGTAATGGACTGGTGATTTCTTTTGTTTGTTTCCACAGGACCCTGATGATCTTGACAGAACTGAACGCTCAGCAAGCTTTGAGGTCAGTCCGCATGCAGACTATGAATGAATGAATGAATGAATGAATCAATGAATCAATGGAGTCTGGGAACATAGTTTGTGAGTGTGGAAATTAATGACACATTCTTTCAAACATGTAGATGAGAGCAGGTATCACATATTACACCAGCTTTCACTTTGTGACTTCAATTTGTTCTAGAGACTAAACTCATGCAAAATGTAATGTTTGCATTGATCTTGATTTAATGTTATCTGCAATAACAGTCTTTAATTTGTGAAGGATTTTTTTTTTTACTGTTAAAGGTTTTCTTCATTTGTTATCATCATCATGACCTGAATAAGTTCAATGTCCAGTCAATCATCATGAGTTATATGACAGTAAAAAAAATGTTTAAATCTGACACTAAAAGTAAAGAATATTGTCTTGAGAATACACAGGATTCAAAAATGGAAGCTAAAAACAGAAATAATATGAATATGGTGGAAGTCTCTCTGGATAAGAGCATCTGCCAAATGCATGTAATGTAATGTAATGTAAATAAGTTCATAAGTATATTGATAAGTGTATTCTAGTTTGTGATCCATGGATCATGGCACATTATTGTGCTATAATCAGGCAAACATTTTGCATCTATGATTTTGACCTGCTGTGACCCCTCTCTCTCAGGGCTTCCGGGGGTATGGGGGCTATTACCCCTATGGCGGCCAGACGAACACCGCCTCCCTGGCCCTCCTGCCCTTACTGCTGAACAGGCTCTCTCCTGCCCCATCCCCTGCTGCCGCTACGGCTCTCGCAGCCCTGTTCGCCCTGGGGAAGTAGCAGGCTCCTGCTGGACTCTGTGCTCCTGTGAGCTGAAGACAGCATTGGAACTCAAGCGCATCTGTCATTGTTAGCAGCTTCTTCCGAATTAAATTAAAACTTTGTTGAGCCTCATTTTGTGTGTGCTTGTCATCCTTTTTTTTTTGTCATTTGCTTCTGTCAGAATCCACTGACAGAATAATAACTTTTTGAAATCCACTTGACTGGAAACATAACTTGACTCAATTTGCTTTGTAATGCAGCTAAATAAAACAGTGTACAATCTGTAAATGGCTCCATTTCTTTTTTTGTACTGAGCTGTGGTGTTTAAACTGGATAATGCAACAAAAGACCAGAAAGGTATTCAGAAAGGAGTAAATTCCATTGGAAATATGCATTGATTCTGGTTACGGGAGTGTATGTTGAACTCTACACATATTTTCCAGCTTTTAATTTAATCAGTTCTTTCATGTAAATGTTCAGTGAATATCACTGCATACAAGTGGAATGCAGCTAAAAGTATCAGAAGCTGTATCAGAATTGAGTAATATTGTTTCCCAAAGGCTGAGAATCTCTTTATAAAAGACTCAAAAATGAATGGATATATGACTATTGGTGCAAAACATATAAACAGAGATGGCAGTTCCATAATTTTTGGACTTGAGAAAAATCCAGAATCCATTCTTGATATTATGGAGTGGACTAGGAATTTCAGTTTTGAAAAAAAAAAATAGACAAAAATTCCCAAAGGCAACTGCAAATGAACATTGTCTGATAAATCAAACAATTCCCACCTTGCAATCATACACTTGATGTCATCTAAATATAAATAAATGAACACATGAATCACAGTAAATGTACACCTGCATCTGAACATAAGGAACTGAACCTCCAGTTACCACTGCAATCTTCCTAATCATTAATTTGTGTTACCTGGACAACTGCCACCTTGACTGGAAGAAGATGTGAGAAATCTTTGCAAACAGAATGGGCTTAGGAAGGCTCAAAGCAAAGGACACAGTTTCAATGTCTTAAAGAAAGTCTGGGATAAAAGGAATCATCTGCAAATACAATGTTGGTGGCATAAATCTAATGTTCATTGTGGAGCTTTAGACACCTCTTCAGGGGCTACAGCTCACTAAGATGCACTGCAAGGGATGAAGGGATACTAACATATTTGGAGGCCACTGTACAGCATACATATGAATACATATGCCTTTTAAGTCAATACATCTTTTTCCACATCAAGATAATAATGTAACATGTGACAGATTAAATAAATAACTATATATTAACAACTGTATGCCCTAAGAGTGAAAGACTTTACAGAGTGTAGATCAAATCTGAAAGGCCTCCCCCAGCAGTCTGCATACACAGGTATAACTGCGAGTTCCCCTGGCCTGATGAAGACCTTTCAAGAAACATTTACATACATATATATTTTGTCTCTTAGCAGACACTCTTACCCAGAGTGATACACAAGATGTGACTACATTTAACAAAGAAGCAGCTGGGATCAAAGAAAAACCCACACAGTATTCCACGAGGTGTCCGTTGAAGATTGATGGACATTTGTATATTCATATTATATTTATTTATGCTCAAAAGTGTGCCATACAGTCAGTACACCGATCCAATACCCTGTCTGAAGTGACAGCTGTCACTAAGCTAATTTGTTGGCTAATTCTGCAATCCTCAGTTGCGGTTTCATTATGCTGAAAACAAAAGGTTACTCCACCTTCCAATTACAACATATGTGAGCCTGATGGGTTAATTCTTTGATGTGATTGGTTGAGGATATGTATATATGTATTCCTTACTGCCTTGGGTATGTATTTCAACATATTCAAAGCGTGACAGGAACCATTTCACGTTGCATTGAGAAAAGGTATACCATAGGTTTTCTACACTGGTTTGTCAGGTTTAACTTTTAATGTTTGGTTTAATGTTTGACATTTAATGTAGTGGTGGTATATTTGACATGATGGCATTTGTAATGTTTCTATAATGTTGTAAAGGGGTTAGTATTTATGTGTTGTAGATGGAGACATTTACACTGAAGACCTTTATTCTTCTTGTTGGACTGATGACGATTTCTACCCCTCTAATGGTAAGTTACCACTATCATTCATATTCCAAAATAGTAACTAAACAATAAATCATTGTATATGGTATTGAAATGGCATTATTTTTAAAAAAGTACAGTGTTCATTTGTGACAATTGGTCATCTTGGTACTATTCTACTGATGGATTATTATTATTATTATTATTATTATTATTATTATTATTATTATAATTGTTATTGTTATTATTAAACCTTTTGTAAAGCACTCATGTGAAGATTAATATGGGCCTAAAAATTTTGTTGTACAATGTAGTGAGAAAAAGAGAAAAATGCAGAGGTGGATTCAGTCTAGCAGATTGCACATATGTATCATAAAAAGGATACAGAAATCCCAGGATAAAGATATCAATGCCACAGCCAGAGGGTTTAGAATGGGCCAGCACAAATATTCTCCTGAATATTCAGCATTCTAAAGACAACGTAAGGAGTTAAAATGACACTTTATTGTTTATAGAGATATCCTGGATATTACAGTAATTTCAGTGCCTCAAACAAACTCTATATTGAATTATTTGTATTCAAAACTGTATAGAAAATAATGTAATGTAAGCCCAGATAACATCTCAAAACCACACTGTGATTCTTCCTTCATGTTTGTCTATTTTCAAAGGCTGCAGAAGACCACACAATCCAGGAGCGCTCTTCCAGCCATGAAGTGAGTAGATCGGACTTTTAGACACTGCAAGGGATTGTTTATGGGGATGTCTCTCAGAGCTCATGTTGATTGCCCACTGGCCACCTTTAGCAAAAGCGAATTAATGAAAGATGAAAAAAAGCTCAACGAGAACAAAAAACAAAACAATCCTGCCCCAAAAAATACAGCTGTTGGTTACACTGTTGTGCATCGTAAGGACTGCAGAGCTTGTTACTCAGTGTGCTGTCTTTCTTTTGTTTGTAGGGAGGCGGCTCATCATTCCTCCAGATGTACTACTTCGCTCTGCTCCTGCAGAGGCTGGGGTTACTCCCTGTCCCTGCCCCTGCCCCTGCCCCCGCCCCCGCCCGGCTCCTGCCCCGGCCCCGGCCCCTGCTCCTGGGGGACGCTGAGGCGTGGAGAACATCCTCACCCTCTCCTACGTGCCCTCACTAGCAGAGGGCTGGCTTACACATCATGTGCTGTAACAGTATCTGAAACTCAATAAAGACTCCATCTTCAACGCTGATTCTGAGTGTCCTGTTTTCTTTGTGTAGCACTGCTAAAGTGCACTCGCATAATACTGGTGTGTTTGGAAGTAGCACTCTGACAATAAGCCCATTTTTATTTACTGCATATCAGGAGATGGTTCTCTTCAGTGCTGTGTAAAATCTTACATGTGTAATAATCATATGATGGGCATGTGGCAATTAAACAAGCCTGGCTACACTGTTGTTGAATGAGTTTCATGACACCTTAAAGCTGTACACATGCATCTTACAGCATGGGGTAGACGTCCTACAGGCTTTTGTGAACAGGTTGTAAAACAGCAAATGTGTTGAAATATCAAACACATTACAACAAACACACTGTCAGGTCTAAAAGAGGGTCTGCATACAGACATAAGCTGGGGCTTTTGACAATGTGTGTAAATCACATTCAGTGGAGAGACAAAAAGAGTTTGCGCTGTTTGTCATTTATTCATTGGGGCATCAGTGCAGCCGAGTGGTAAGATGCAAGGCTCATAACCACAAGGTTGCCGGTTTGACTCCCCGCTGGGGCACTGCTGCTGTACCCTCAGGCAAGGTACTTACCCCAGAATTGCCTCAGTTAATATAGATGTATAAATGGACGACATTTAAAAAAAAAAACTGTAACCTATGTAAGTTGTAAGTTGCTCTGGATAAGTGTGTCTGATAAACGACAATAATGTAATGTAAGTGTAATTCAGGGCCCAGAGGAGGCTTCATCCCTGGGGAAGACACCTGACTCATGAGAAAACTCAGGCGATGTGGCCAAAGAAACTAAGCCCCTCCTCAGCCTCGCCCAGTGGGTGTGGTAACCCCGTGACCCATTGTGTACTGGTCTTGAGAGCCCATCACTGACACAGTCACCCATTGCGAAAGCAGCTTAGCTCTTGGAAAAAAAAAAGACACCCTGTTTACCATGGTGTTTACCTACGTCTTTCCCAACCCATGCAGCTGCGATATGTGTGAAAAAATAATACAAACACAGAATGCAATTCATAAAGACAATTATTACAGAGAATATACACGAAGGAAAACCACTTGCTACTTTATTTGTAATGCATATTTTGTAAAAATATATATGCAGTCTTGCTTTTTTGAAAATCACAGAATCGATTCACAGTGGTGTGTAGCATTTAAAATGGTGTGTTCATCTGTCATTACAAAGATTGCACAATATGTTGCTGCAGTCAGTGAACGCATGAACAAAACTGTGTGGCGAAAATGTAATCCACATACAGACAAGGACATATTTGACATCAAGAAAAAACAACAAAAAACAGTCCTAGGAAAGAATGCAGTTGGCTTTGTTCCTAACAAGTGAAAGAGATGGCATTAATCTTCTCTCCTCCCTGAGCAAACTCCTAATACAGGCCATGATTCTCACACACGTATTCACTGATATTCCTCACTACTTGTCTCCTGTAGATCAGAGAACAGTCTGGGCTGATTTTTGTATTTCATGATATTTAAATAAAAAAAAAATAATAATTTGTTGGAGATTCAAAAGACTTGAAAAGAGGAATACATCTTCTGGTATATATCACTGCAGGTAAGTTTTTTTTTTACATGCATGTTTTATATTAATAGGTAGGTGCCTTGATATGTAATAATCATTTAACTGGCATTTTTAACAATTGTTAAAAGCAGTGACAATTTTCTTCCCGAGGCTTCCAGAAATTTATTATTATTACTTTTTTTTAAGTTAAACACACAGCCTTACTATTGTGGTTTTGAAAACAATATCATTTTTGTTATCCATCGAGAACATGTGCAAATGGAAAATGTCAACTGTATTAAATATTACATTCAGTGAAATGGAGCAGCATATTTAAACAAGAAGGGTGATGGCATGCAGAGAACAGTCACGCAGTCTGGAGAGATGGGTGTTCGACCAGTGCGGGGAAAAACAGTTTGCTCACACGTCCTGGCCTTTTCACTGTTAGGACTCATCAGTGACCCCATGTGGGTGGAGGAAGTAACTGGAGGGTGTGGTGTGTGAGTTTGTGAAACCCCCTGAGAATTCAGGTCATGAAACTCTATTGTTAGCACAGTGTGTTATTTTAGGCTATGGAAAATACTGCTGAATACAGCATGTTCGTGTTCTTCCATGCTATTCATGCTGTTGACTTTGAGTGAGGCCTTACTTCTACAAGAAACGTGTCTATGTACTGTTTTTTTAACAAGCCTTCTCAGACACTTTAAAATCCATTCATACACACATGCACACACGCACATTGGAAATACACTACTTGGAATGTTGCTATATATATGGAAATGTATAGTACATTAGAAATTGTGAAAAAAAATTATACTATTCTATATACAATATGAAATAAACTAGTACATTTGCACTCACTTGTATAAAGTGTAAAGGTACTGCTGTATTTCATTTTCTGATGAATACTAATGCTATTCAATTCTGGCACTTACATATTACCTATGCAATTTTAGTCCAAATCACACAGACCTGCCAATAGGCACCCACACGCTCTAATTGTTAAACCAAAAAAGAACTCAAAGAATTTTTCTTTGAGAAGAATAATGGCATTGCATGTGTGCGATGATGTGGCACAGACACAGCTTCTTTTGGGATAAGGCAGTCACCTACCTGTGGATGGCACCTGGAACATGTTATGCAAGAGGGGCTTAGTCTTCAATCACTTATTAATGCAGCTGATGAGATGACCACTGTGTTCTGTTTTCATTACTGATCCTACTTATTAAATCAGAGGTTGTTGATTGGCCAAACCATGGCTGAGATGAAGGACTAGTGACTGCCTACTGATAAAGACATGAGAACTTAGAGCAAAGACTCCTCTGTTGAATCTTAAATGAAGAATCGCTGAAAAGAGCACGATCGCTGAAAGGTAAAACCATTATGGCAAATCCTTCATTTGGATTCTGAACTGAGGGTTTGAAATGAACTGCAGCAAGTTAGTGTAAGACAAACATTACATATGTGCTAAGAAAGATGAAAGTGACGATTCTTTAAAGAGGGCAGTCTAGATAATGGATATGACAATGGCAATCATTGTACATGTATGATTCATATGTGTTTTAAAGGTGCAGAAATAGCTGGCGTCACGATGAAGTGCGTGATACTCATCCTGGTACTCTCTCTGACTCTCCCTGAAGCAGTGAGTATTGCACGCTTCTGTATAAAACTCATTCATTAATGTGTTCTTATTGTATTGTCATTTTCTTTATTTTCCTTCTTCCTCACTAATGTGATTATTTTTAAGCAACATTAGAATGATGAGGGGAGGAAGAAATAAGAAGAATCAAAAAAGTGATCGTAGAAGTGTCAATAAGTCAATATGGGTGAAAAACACAAAAATCAAGATGCAAATACATTGATTTGTACATGAATACCTCTAATATACTATTACTACTAATACTGCTACTGCTACTATGACTATGACTACTATGGCTACCACTAGTGTTACTACTGATACTAATAATAGTAATATTTATAATACATCTTTTCTGCAGTTTTCTGTTCAGCCTCACCGTCGAAGCTACTCTGAAAGCAATGAGGTAAAGCTTATCTCACTTCACTATTCTAATAAAACTTGAAATCATCTTAAAGCCTCTTGATAATATCTTGTTAAAGACTGATTCATTCTCTAATCACAATCATTGTTTAAAAATACACATTGGATTTTTAAAACAAGTTATCTGCAAAAGGTCAAAGCTAGGGGACATTTTGTAAAAATACATGTTAAATGGCCATTTCATGTGGCGGGTTAAGCACCTGAACACATCCGAGCTCACTTGGTCTGGGATGAACATTTTAAAAGCCAGTCCTCGGCACCCCTGAAGGACAGCATGTGTCTGACCACTCTTTCTCGATGTGCTGTTATGTGTAACAGAAGGTGGTCTTCTTCCGGTACCCCACCTTCTACCGGCAGCAGCCACGGTACTGGTTCCCCTTCTGGGCCCTCCTTCCGGGCCTCCTCCCCAGGCCAGCACCTGCCCCGGGACCGGCCCCTACCCCTGCCCCGGCCACCACCCCCCGGGGTGATAACGGATAAGGAGGAGGAGGTGCCTCTGGAGTTCAGCGCTCCCACCCCCTGGATTTATGCAGAATTACAAGTTTGAAATATGTTTAATGCAATGTTTTTAAAAAATGTTTTTCTGCTGATTACTGAACCCACTCGAGTGTGCTTTATGTAGACCTAAGTAACACCTGCGTTTAATTTTGTGTCAAAATTATGGAGAAACACTGATTGACTCCAGGGGTATGAATTAATATGACCAATGTCCAATAAAAAGCATCGCTATCAGCCACAGGTTTGGCAATTTTTCATCTACCACAGCTACAGTGATGAAACTCAGCTGAGTATGCTGAGTTTTTTTTTCCCTCAGTTTTACAAACTCTGCTATATCCTTTGACTCGAGACTGTATGTTGATTCATATAAATAAGGTTTGTTATTTTACCATTCAAGTGCATTTACAATAAACACACATTGGTGTAGAACTTAAATCAGATACAACCTACATTTCATCACAAAATGTGTATAACAGTGCCATTTATGATTAATAATTGAATAAATAATGCTACATTTATGTACCATTGCAAACCATTGCAAAATCAATGAGTATAAATGTGATTAATATGAATAAACTCACTTTCGGAAGCATTATTTGTGGGATTATTATCATCAAAAACATGGTTTTTGAATTTTTTTTTTGAACGAAATTCATACATAGGCATCAACTTCAATATTCATATTTGTCTAAGAAACAAATTGCAGGCTTAAGTATATGTCTTTAGATCAAAATGTCTTTGAATGCATGTTTCCCATTATCTTAATCAGTTGTGTCCAAACTTTTGACTGGTACTGTAGTAGCAGTAACAGTAGTAGTGGTGAAGATAGTAGAGGTAGTAGCTTTGTTGCTGTTGTTATTCATGACTTTATTGTTAAGCAACATCTTTTTATTCTTCATGTAACATTTCCATATTAGCACATATTCCCACATTGCACGTGTTCCCTGTGAACAGTCTGGGCTTCAGAGCTGACGCATCGGCAGCAACACCCAGACAAGTGAAGCCGGGTGGGCTGCATCCAGCTACAGCAGAGTCCTGCCCTGGGTGGGGAGAAAGGCTACACAATTTCACATGGGATTAAAGTCCCGAAGGATAATTACAGCGCTGGTCTCATATTCTGCCCATACAACACCATTATTGGATTAAGGTAGATTAGGAGTGAGCTGTCATCTGTGGGTTTAATCCCTGACACGGCACTGTAGGCTGGTGGTAAACAGGTAACAGCAGTGTTGCATGGGGCTTCATTGCAACATGACTCAGGTATCCTAGACAGCTCATTGAGTCCACGCTACTGCAAGAGGTCAGTGACTAAAGCATGTCTGTATGAAAAAAAGCATGTCTATTTAAAACAAGTAAACACAAATTATTATTATTATTCCAGTCTAGTGAAATCTTTGTTGAAAATAGTTTTCTCTTTGTTTTTAATTGTTAGAAGGCCTTTTCTCTCCTTCTAATCAGAAAACTGTGCTATGGCACCTGAT